ACCATTCGTACTTCGTAACACTTAGGACACACATCTACATCTATTGGACAATCGGTTTCTTCATGTTTAAGGCTCGAGCATTTCTTGTGCTCATGATATAATATCTTCCCTTTCTTCTGCTGTGTTTGGTTCAAATCTAGTAAGTTGTGAAGCGTGTAAAGGTCTTCTTTCTTCATGTTGGAGATGCCAGTGATTTTTAGGCTCTTTAGTCTGTGGTTGTTTTTTGTTAGCAACTTCACTGCTTTAATCAATCCCTCTGGTGTTAAGCTTGTGCAACCTGGGCTATAGAGCTAAAACAGAAACATGTGCCCTATTAGCTAAAGATTTTTTTAGTAGATTTTGATAAAAATTGATGAAGTGTGTGAAGAATGACTACTTTGCCAAAAAATGTTGACATCCTATTTGACAGATGTATTGGTAGTAGGAAATGATTGGATGTAAAAGTTGATTATTTTAAAATAGTCTAATGACAGAATTCCACATAATATTCCTCAGATGTCAAACTTATCTGGCAGTGTAGCATGGTTTTTGAAGAATTGATAGAAGTTGTGGTTTTCATGAAATATGTTATTAAAATTAATTATTAATTTTGACTTAGATTTTTATCAACTTTTTTGGCTAAACCAGATTGGTGCGTTAATCTTCCTGTAAATTCTACAATCTAGTTGAACTCCTTTTCTCATAAAACTGTACCGAACATCTTACCAAACAATTCTCTCGTTTGAGTAGTTATTTGGCACTTCGAGTGTGAACCATTTGGTAAGAAAGTGTGAACTTTTGCTTATCAACAAGGGACAATTTTTTTGCAATTGCCATGACATGCCATGACAAAATACATTAACTAATCAAAATAAGATGTAAAATATAAAAAACAAATGAGTAATTATTTATGAATAAATCTACATGTGTACAAATAGCATTTCCCTTCATATCCTCTCACCTATGTCTATCTTCTCACAAAATTTGACCAAATTTTAGAAAATAACCTTTCTAATCAAAAATAAAACAACTAAATTGAGCATTAAACATCAATCAAAGCCAACATATCTTGTCACAAGAAGAAAACTATACCTTGGAGATAAAAGGATTTTCCTCTACAACCTTTAGAAGTCCATCATCAGTAATTTTCACACAGTTTTTCAGAGTCAGAACCCTTAGCTGGCCATTCACTTTCGATGTAATTTTAATCAGAATATCGTCCGAAAGACGCGTGTTCAAAGGCGGTTCAACTATTACATTAAGCCAAGGCAATATGTCATTTTTTATAGCATCTCTAAGTGATTTGCAGACTTGACTCATGGAAACAAGCTCAAAAACAGGAAGAAAAGCTAAGACAAAGAAAAGGGCTTCATGTGGTGGCCCTGATTCAGAACAAGTATTCATGGTTTCTACTAGTGAATATGATAGGAAAATATTTATGAATGGAGATGATGAATCTGTATGACAAGTCTCGTATTGTATGGAAATTTATAATGAAACTGTGACTTGTATTTCGATGTTCAATGCAAGTACTACGGCCTACATACGTTTCGAAAAATGGTACTTTAATAAAATATAATAACATAAAAATCTCATACGTAAATTTTCTCTTGATTGGTTCGTTGTGGGGAGTGGCAGGGATCATGCAAAGGAAGAAAAGACCAAAAAAAAAAAAAGAAAAAAAAGAGGGAGTTCGGGCAGGATCATGCGAAGGCAGAAAATATTTAAAATTTGTCACACTCATGTTCTTTATAATTTTATTCCTTTTTTTTATGTGGTTAAGCATGGTTTGAAATATTTAAATAGGTTAAATTGGTATAAAACTGTGATGTTCTAGAACCTAGAGGCTAGAGCTCCGAAAGTTAGGAACTATTGTGTATTCTTATTTGAGTGTAAGTTTAAATCTCAGAGTTCAAACTCAACTTAAAAGACGTGGAATAAATTCGGATAACTAAAAAATAAAAATTACAACTTCTGTCAACCTTTCACTATAGGAAAAAAAAATGATATTTTACAACTAATCTTTCAACGACCAAATCAATCCGGTCGTTAAAAACTATTTTCAACAACTAAAAGATACATTTGGCTGTAGAAATTGGATGGTGAACATTTGAATTTTGAGTTAGTTGGAAATATATTATAATGACCAGAAAGTTAGTTGTTAATCCTATATTTTCTACAACCAAATTAATATTGGTTGTTGTAAGTGGGCATCAAATAAAAAAACTCCGCCAAAATATCTGTTGATATTCAACGACCAAGTAATCGGTTGTTAGAAACATAAATAATATAGTAAATATTCAACGACCATTGTTTCTGGTTGTTAAAATAGTAAAACAACACCTAATTTTATCTCGTTGTTGGAAATTTCATATTTAAAAAGATAGCATGTAAGTTTAACATTCATTTCATGTTGGTCACACCACTAATAATTTTTTTCAAAGCAAATGTGACACTTTAAGTTCTCATTCTTAAATATTTTAATACAAGAGAAAAATGCTAAAACAAAGTTTTGTTTTAATTTGTAATATTAATTTAACAATATTCAACGTTTAACAATTTTTTTTCTCATAAAATATGAACACGTGTGTAACGCCCCGAAAATTTTAGAATAAAAGTGTATGCTATATTTTATATTTTGAAAATTTGAGGACTAAAATGGAATAGCTTTTAAATTCATATTT